CCTCTAGGATTCTTGCTTGCGATAGAGAAGATAGATTCGATAGCCTCAAAGAACAATATATCGGAAAAGTACGACCCATACTGCCTGTTCAAGTTGCTTTCAGTTTTAGTTCTGTGCTGAGGATGGCTTCAGAGCAATATAGAAGTCTGCCGCAACGGCCATTATGTGTCACGAGCCAGCGACTACATCATATACAGTGTCGAAGCTGCCATCATAGACCGTGTGATTGCGCAATTTGGCCCTTGTATGCACCCAATGACTGGAGCCCTTCCCATCCTCGTATATATTTCTGACGTGTGTATGCTCTCGTGGTAGCGACGAAGATGGGTGCCATCGTTGGCGGCCAAACGTCTTGCAAGTCTCCGGAAATAAAAGCTTTTGAGGAGTACCTGCCGCCCGATGTCCATATTATATCTTGCCATTCACTCCACGGTCCTGGGGTTGATACACATAATCAACCACTAGTTCTCATTCAACATCGCGCGCCGGATGAGGCTCTGCGGAAGGTGGAGGCTGTTTTCAGCTGCTTGCGGTCCAAGTATGTTTACTTGACAGCGCAAGAACACGACCGTATCACTGCGGATACACAAGCTGTTACTCATGCCGCGTTTTTGTCCATGGGAAAAGCCTGGCACGCAAACAGTCAGTTTCCATGGGAATTGAATCGCTATGTAGGTGGCATTGAGAACGTCAAGATCAACACCATGCTTCGCATCTACGGGCAGAAATGGCACGTGTACGCTGGCCTTGCCATCCTGAATCCTGAAGCCAGAAAACAAGTGGCTCAGTATGCTGAGAGCGTAACGGCATTGTATAAACTCATGCTGAAAGGTGATCTGGATGGACTTCGGGTCAGAGTGTACAATGCAAGGGATAAGGTATTTGGTTCGGCTTCGAATTGGGGTGCCCGTCCATTGATCGAGCCCTCGATATTGTCCTCATTCTCTCTTGGGAAACCAACAGACGCACCGCCCAGGCCAAACAACCATCTCAGCCTCTTGGCCATGGTTGACTGTTGGGCCGCGTTAGGCATTGTGCCATACGATCATATGATTTGCAGTACGCCTCTATTCCGCCTTCGACTTGGCGTAACAGAGCACTTATTTCTCAATACGGCGCTGTTGGATGAGACATTAAAAACAGCTGTCGAAGACAAGATGTATCGAAGCGATGACCTTGAGTTTACATTTGCAGCACGTGGTTGGGCCGAGTGTGTTTCACTCGGCCACTTTGAGACGTGGGAAAAACGGTTCGTCAGCACACAAGAATTCTTCCAGCCTCGTTTTGCGGAGGCCAAGGTTGTAGGCGACCAGATGATGAAGAAGGTTCTCGAGAGTTACGTGGAAAACGGTAAATGATTTTTTTTTTTATGTGTGTAAATGGTAAGCAAAGGTCATATGAATGGCAGGACCATTCCTTTCCTTTTAGGCCGACGGGGCTTTAGATGATAAGACCTGAGTAAACAGAAGAGGAACAAGCCCCCTCTAGATGAACGCTCATGAGTCGCATGCCCTGCATGGGACTGTTCAACTTACCCGACGGGACTGATATTCTCATTCAAGTGACAGTCAGGCCTGGAGGATGATGTCAACAACAGCAAATCGGAAACCCTACTCTAATCAGGTCGCATTTCGAAGTGACGGACTGATACTCCGTACAGTAACAAGCCCGGGACGCGATAGCTTGTAATTCCGCCGTCAATACGGACATCAACCCACATCTATTTACGTTTGAGGGAGAGCATGCTCGAATAGCTCGCTCATTTGAATCTGGTGCAAGTGGCTTGCTAATGTCCATAGCAACTCGTTGCTCTGGAGGAACAGCCTCGGTCATTTACGCTACGGGGTACGGAGCACAAGAGTATACAAACAACATTGAACCAATAGTGCCTTGTGAACGCGCCGCGAGAATGGATCAAGACCCATAAAACCCCAGACCTTCACCAATCAAGATGGGATTTACTTTCGCCCGACTTCCCGCGTCATGGATGCGACGTGGATGTGTTGACGATGGCGGCGAGAGCCGCCAAACAATCTGACATTTATAACAGGGAGAGTACTTATCGAGATTTGGGGTGCAGTCATGGGGTTAGAGGAGAGATGGTCGCATTTGCATAGAAAGAGTTACCGCGGCTATCGTGCCCAATCTCAAGTACCTACCTACTTACCTAAGTAAGTACCTAGGTAGGTGCTTAGGCGCCCAGGTCGGTCCTTAGATGCCGCCTCTGTACTCCGCATGGCTGGTCTACCGGCACCAGAACGTCCTGGAATAGCCGCGTCGTTAGAAACCTACGAGGCAGCTTCGTCCAAAAACAGAAGGGGAGTGAGCTTGCAGTGCTTTCGGGTTTCTTGTTCAATTAGGCCGATACACATGTGGCACATGCATTTCTGCAAGTCTATGGAGTACGTAGTGAGGGCAATCTAGAGATGCTTGGACATGTGTGGCCATAGCGTCCCCGTTGAAGGTTGCAAGAACATTTGATTCAACATTGATGTTGAAAGAAGCGGACCGTCAATGGGTGCAACTGGCGTACGCATTCATGGAGCACCGGGTGCTGAACAGACACCGCCCAACATTGGACCCACACTAGCTTCCAAGAATCCGAGGTTTATGTACTTGGTGCCGCATTGATCTGTGTACACGCTACTTGACCAAGAAGGAGGCATTGCATATAATGCACAAGTCTCTATACCTTGAATGGCTCTCCAAGTTGGCAATCAAGGTACATACTCGCCTGGCACCTACCAGCCGCTTCAGCAGCCAGGTATTACCCAGCAGCGGTGCCTGGCCACTTCTTCAGGCTCCGGGCATGTGGCCGTCAACTGGTCAACGCCGTGCGTCGACTGGTCCGTCGGGGCTCGAGCTGGCGTGTTTTGTCCCGAGGTGTAAACAAATCAATTGGCCAACCCTCCCCGAACAGCCTCAAACGGCACCAGGGCACCAGGGCACCTACATCACACCCACCCCCCTCCCTCTCTTTTGCGACTTTCTGCGACCCGGTTCCTCTTGTTCCATCTGCGGACCTTCCATCCATCGTCCATTTGCCCGTTTATATCGCCAACATTCCTCGCGCTGCCTCTCCGTAACTCCGTGAGGACCCTCATTGCCGCCTCCCTCCTGTCTAGGCCGCCGCTCGTCACGGCTGGATTGCATCCGAAAAGGCCGCCCGCCGTCTCACTGCACCGCTGACTGCTCATTGCTCTCGGGGCCGCCATCATGTCAGTCAAGTTTGAACGGGATACATTGCGGCAGACTACGCAGAATGTCGCCTCCAACGCTCTGCCCGACGGCAAAATTCCCGGCACCAGTGGCAAGCATCCTTTGGCTGAGAAGGTTGGCACAGCCCTGACGGGCGGAATCCAGAATGCTGGTACCAAAGGATATCTCGCTGTATGTCACTCTTCCCTTCCAGATCCCCATTTAGAGGGAAATCGTGCATTAGATTTGCAAGGCTGACAATTATTGTCTTTTTTCCTTTTTGGCGAAATACAGGCCTACATCAAGCAGCTCGAGTCGAATCCCCTGCGAACAAAAATGCTCACGGCTGGTTCCCTTGCTGGTGCCCAAGAGCTCATTGCCTCATGGCTCGCCAAGGACCGCAACAAGCATGGCCACTACTTCACCTCCCGCGTTCCCAAGATGGCAGCGTACGGTGCTCTTGTCAGCGCGCCGCTTGGCCACTTCCTGATCTGGCTTCTGCAAAAGGTCTTTCGAGGCCGAACTAGTCTGAAGGCCAAGATCATGCAAATCATTTTTAGCAACCTGGTTGTACGTATCTCCTTGAAACCCTAGTTCCATCAGGCATTATATGGTCTTCCACAGACTTTCGCAAGCCTCTAAACAACCAAATTACTAATCTCACGGTTCGTCACTTACCGCCTGTAGATTGCACCTATCCAGAACAGCGTCTATCTCGTTGCCATGGCTCTGATTGCTGGCGCTCGTACCTATCACCAGGTTCGTGCCACCGTCAAGGTTGGCTTTTGGAGAGTGATGCGCGTCTCCTGGATTACGTCGCCTATTTGCCTTGCCTTCGCTCAGAAGTTCCTGCCTGATCAGCTCTGGGTGCCGTTCTTCAACCTTGTCTCGTTCGTCATTGGCACGTATATCAACACCGTGACCAAGAAGAAGCGTCTTGCCGCCCTTCGCAAGAAGCACTTCGGCGACGGCCGCCCAGGCGCGAGCATGGGACGCCCTGATGATTATCCTCCCATGGGGGGCCCTAACCCTCCTTACTAGAACTGTGCCCACGAAAGACTATCGCGATATCTCGGAGTTCGGCGTAGGCTTGGGATGGGTACATATATCGATATGTGCTACGCGCGGGGGCATGGTTGCGATATGGACGGCATGACATACGAGCGGATAAGAATTGGACAAGGACTATTGCGGAGGCTGTTACCTGGTATTGATGACTGACGCAGAATAACTGGGGGATGCCTCTACCATCTCGCAGAAGTCGGGATGCACCTGGCAAACTATTGTCCAATATGAAAAGAGGGTGGAAGTGTGAAGGTATCGAATCTTCCTTCGGCTTGCGGTTTCTGTACACAAATCTTGTTTTTGCTTTTCGCCGGCTTGGATATGGTTGTTGTACTTGGTTTCTATGTTAATATCTAGTCTCATGACGTAGATAGGCCGTTGGAGAAGGGGGCGGGCCATAAATTATAACTTATTTCGGCTGCCCTTTGTGCCCATTATTGAGCTACTACAGACCGTCTATGTCTGGGTTGCATGTGTACGCTAATACGATTTTTCCTGGTCCGCCTTGACAACTTGATACCAACGTTGTCGGCATGTTTCCTGCTATACCATGTGCGTCGATCTATCAACCCGTCTGGGAGACACCATTTAAGGCAACAGCCTCAGGGAGGACCAAACGATAATAAATCAGTCTCTGTTGGCAGCCTGTTGGCGTATGGTAGTCCCCAAATGAGACCTGCGCGAATCCGAAAACCGTGACTGCCTTGAATCGTTCAAAAACAGCCCGTGACCATGGCTCAATCGGCCACGGGGGCATGCCCTTCGTCTATATCAACCATGAACGTCGGACTCCAATACTCCCACTCTCCACCGGTCTGCTTGTCCACCCACAGCATGCCTTCAGCCACCAAGTCGTCAATGACTGTTCGACAGCGTGCCCGCTCCCAGCTCAAGTTATCGCAAAGCATGCTGACACTCACGTAGCCCAAAACCTGGGCGGCTTCAACGGCAGCAACCTGGTCATTGCTCAGCTCTCTGGGGACGCTCCGGATGTACTCCTTGCGCCCGACACGGACTATGCCGTAGCTCCCGCCCAGCGGCTTCAGCGTCTCGACGGCGCGGCGGACGTCGTCCTCCGAAATGTCGCTGCTGTTGCCGGAGCTGTCCACGCGGCCCAGGGACAGCCGCTCGCGCACCTCGCGCAGGCCAATGAGCCCGCCGTTCTCGCCTCTCGTCGCGCTGCACATCTCCACTATGCGGACGGCCAGCTCAAAGTAGAAGTCGTTGACCGTCTTGCCCAGCAGCTGCGCCCAGATGGAGCCCCCGGGGCCGCCTCCGCTGCTGCTGCTGCTCGAGAGGGGATCGACGCCGATGGCGGTACACATGCGCGCGAACTGGGCGCGGAACGACGGGTCTGAGCGGATGTCCTTGGCGTGTGTCTGCGCGAACTGCTGGAGGAGAGACCGGAACACGGCCAGCTGTGTCTCGAGGGCTTGCGCGTTGTTCGCGCGCAGAGATGAGCCGTGTGATGCGTAATGGGCCGACGTCAGCCTTGACCTGTCAAAGGCCCCGATGCCGACGCCTTTTCGTGACATTTTGACAGCGGCGGATGCGACACAATGTATCTTGCAGCAAAGCCCGGGCAACAGGTCGGGTCTTGGCAGCTTTGCGTGTCGCTTCACATGAGTGTTTGTAGTTGGGGGGAAGGTTCTTTGGCTTTTGGGTAGACTTGGCTTGATGTCAACTGGTCCTTATCAGTGACGTGTGACGGAACAAGCACTGTCTGGTGGGGCGAACCTTCCTAGTTTGGCGACAACCAAGAAATACATACATACAATCTCACACGAGTTCAAAGACATGCAACCTCAAAACATGATTCTCGTCTACAAAGATGATTCTCGTCTACAAACATGATTCTTGTCTACAAACATGATTCTTGTCTACAAACCTGATTCTCGTCTACAAGCATGATTCTCGTCTACAGAAAACACACAAAATATGCCTAGGATCTGTGGCCCGGAAGATAGCTGATAAATACCTCCTGTAGACTTGCTTGTAATATCCTGACTCTAAGGGTATATTTAAAAGCGGTGGTGATCTGTTAATATCATATGGATATATACATGTAGTAGTAAACAGCTTACACAATTCACCCTTTTCCCGAATCTGAGTATTTTTTTTTCTCGCCGTCGTCATCAATATACCTTGCTAGTTTACCATTTTCTGCCCCGCAAGCCACCGTTTTACTCTAGGTTTATGTTGTCGTCATTCATACCGCAAAAACTAGAGGCACGCAATCAAATTATTTCGTTCTGTTCCAAGAATTGCCCGTTTTACCATGTGCCGGAATGATTCTGCGTCGCGAGATGCCATTATTCCCTCCGAATCTTACTGCGTTTGGCATTGAGGTTGGCCGTCATCTTCGTCCTCGTCTCCCCACTCGCTTGCGAACCGAGGATCTCCAGAGTTTTCGCCCATCTAGAATGCATGTCAACAGCTGCCAAAGTAAGTGAGCACTGAGACATAGCGGAATATCATACCTTCTCAATGTCGGCTCCATCTTCATATTCCAGTTCATCAACTTCCTCAGCCTCGATAGGAGGGGGAGGTGGTGGCAGCATTTTTCGCAGGGCTTCATACGAAGCATCATCCTTTAACCAACCATCCTCAGGGAATTCCACAGTTACAAGAAGGTAAAGATCTCCTTTCACCTCGCCTCGCTTCATAGGCATACCTTCGCCAGCGATTTTTAAGCAGTCGCCGGGCCGCAAGATTTTGCCTCGCGGTCGTTCGATGTGAATTCCTCGGCCATCAAGGTGCTTGAGTACGACTCGAGAAAAGCCTGTTAAGGCTTCCGCCAACGTGACCGTGAGCTCTGCCGAGAGGTCGTTACCTAAGCGCGAGAAAGTATCGTGATGCTCCTCTACCAGAGTGAAGACAATGTCGCCAGGTATTTGGTCTGGATACTGATCCGCTTCGCCTTCTAGAACAATTCTCTCGCCCTGTATTGACCCTCGTGGAATGTATATCTCCAAGGCTTTCTTTTCTTGCATCGTCCGCTTCCCCTTGCACTTCCTGCAGCGATCCTTCTCCTTAAATACCTGCCCGGCGCCTTGGCAGTGATCACATAAGACGGTTTCTCGTCCCATCATGCCCGGCCCGATCTGTCTGATTGCCCCAACCATGCCATTGCCTTTGCAGCGTTCGCAAGTGGTTGATTTGGCTTTTTCCTTACCACCAGATCCTTTGCACTGACTGCAAACAACCTGCTTATTAGCGGCGAATTTGACTGTCTTGCCCTTGTAGAGCTCTTCAAGCGTAACTTTATATTCCTGCTCCTCGTCGGGTCCGCGTCTCGGCCTTTTAGGACCCCCAGGGCCGCCCATATTAAAGCCAAACATCTGGGAGAGTATGTCGTTGAGGTCTACTTCGGGTCCGCCTGGACCACCTCCGCGGGATGGATCAAAGGCTGCCATGCCGTGGGCATCATAAAGATGTCTCTTCTGCTCATCACTGAGAATTTCGTACGCTCGCGTGATTTCTTTGAACTTGGCTTCGGATTCCTCGCGTTGTTCTACCGGAACTTTATCGGGATGATATTTAAGAGCTGCCTGTGTTTGTGTTAGTAGAAGATCGAGAATATTTTTTTTTCCCTCAATGATGATCGCAAGTGGGCACTTGGCGTACCTGACGGTAGGCTTTCTTGACTTGGTCCTGAGTCGCATCCCTCTCGATCGAGAGAAGACCTATGACAACAGTTAAGGGGTGGAAAATTTTGAACATGGAGTTTTCGGGAAAATACCGTAGAGGTCAATCTCCTCTTCGCCCATGGCACCCGACATGGTTCGTGGAGGCTGAAATCAAGTTGTTGATGACAAGATCAGCATTCAGCCTGGGAACAAGTCGATGTGGAGCAGGCAGGCTCTGGCAGAAATCTTTTGAGGCGCGGGGTCTTGCCAAGCAAGCCTTGCAGATGCTAACGTTATTAGTGGCCGTCTGCCGTAATTCGCGCCGCACATCCTACGTGGACCAGACAAGGCTACTGTTACATGACTGCCGCCTATCAAATTGGCTGACTGCTAGGTACTCTAGAAACAATGCACCTGGCTATCACGCTCCATACTATAATTTATAGTATTATTATTTTTTTTTTCAACCTATCCCAATATTCGTTTCAGCACTGCATCAGGTAGGGCCCAACTGTATATATTATAGCATATTAGCGTATGCTTCTTGGCGAGCAAATATATACAACCTGCCACCGACTGTGCCCATCTGGCGGGTACTTCTCGGTGTAGATATGAAGCCTTTATCGCGATAAGTTCATCCCTACTAGTACTACTAGTAGGCAAACGCCACAGTCAATACAAATGCTTTCGAAGGATACGCCACATGTGGCGCGCTCCTATCAAAGCTTCGTCATGTCATACTACTAGAATCCTCAGCCAACTTCAAGGATCTCAGCTAAAACCATCCAAGGCTACAGCGCATAGGGGTCGTGCCTTGCTACCTTGAACCATTCATCATTGATAATGCCTCTACTTGTTAGAGCATTTTCAGTGACCAAGTCACTCGCTGGTTCAAGATGCATGCCGACGACCCTCTGCCTCAGTTGCACCAGCCGATTCGATGGTCATCGAGCCATACCTGTGCGCCGAAGTCGCAAGTTCAGTCAAGCCACTTGCAATGACATGTCAAAACTACAAGGGAACGGTGTACCCCAATGCAGTAGTCCAGGAGCATCTAGCATCGAAAGTGGATTAAAGGCACTGAGAAGAAGGAACAAAGCGGTCAAAGAAGATTCTAAAGCTGCAGGACCAGTAGCACATCGAATTATCTTGGGCCAAAGCTCTGAATTGCCCATCCGAGCCCGTTTTGCACCATCACCAACAGGATATTTGCATTTGGGCTCTCTAAGAACGGCCCTCTTCAACAATTTAGCTGCCAAGGCGTCAAATGGCGGTGCGTTCGTTCTACGCATCGAGGATACTGATCAGGTTAGTGGCTAGTTTATCGCCAGTTTCAGCTCTCTTGCACAACTGACTATTGCTACAGAAGCGTCTGGTAGATGATGCGGAGGAGCGTTTGATCAAAGATCTCAGATGGGCAGGTCTATGTTGGGATGAAGGTCCTGACTGCGGCGGTCCGTTTGGACCATATAAACAAGTGAGCGAAGAACCAAACAACGCAGCAAGATGCCAAGGCACCACAATCTAACCTAAGCAAAGTCGGAAAGACTTGATATCTACAAGGCTCACGTCCAAACTCTGCTTGAGCATGGCCACGCTTACCGTTGCTTCTGCAGCCCAGAACAACTCGAGCTGCAAAAGCGAGAACTCCACAAAGCTGGGAAGTCTACCGCATATCCTGGGACATGTCGCTCTATTCCACATACCGAATCAGAAAGACGAGCTCGCGACGGAGATCCTCATGTAGTTCGTTTCAAAGGCGATGGCTTTGGCCGACCCAAGTTCCGCGATGCTATCTATGGGTTATTTCAGAAGCAGGACCCGGAAGAAGATTTTGTGTTGTTCAAGTCCGACGGATTTCCTACCTATCATCTTGCAAATGTTGTTGACGATCATTTAATGAACATAACTCATGTCATTCGAGGAGAAGTGAGTGCCTGCTCTTGATCATTATAGACGGTGGTATAATACCACGTACTAATGGTACCCAGGAATGGTTGATATCGACACCCAAGCATCTGGCACTGTATATGGCCTTTGGGTGGGAGCCTCCTACCTTCGCCCATCTCGGGCTGCTAGTCAACCCCGATGGCAGCAAACTTAGCAAGCGCAATGATAGCGTCAATCTCTCCACATATCATGACAAAGGTGTTTTCCCAATGGCTCTACTATCATGGCTGGCTAACTTGGGCTCCTCCTTTAAACCCAACGTCAAGCCGCCTCGAACCATTTCAGATATTGCCGATGCTGTATGTTAATTGTGACTGGCAAATGCTCATCGTGTGCTAATCAAGGAGAGCAGTTGACTTTCAAGTTCACTCGAGGTGGCATAAAGCTCAATATGGAGAAACTGGACCACTTTGACAGTAAATATCGGGACGCCATATTGTGGGACCCTATATCTGACCTGTCAGAAACGGAAACTAGTCTCATTAGCGACTACATTACCCAGCGCATGCTGCAGGAGATCGACTCGGTCACCAAGAAAGCTGCGGCGTTTGAATTGCTGCCCCGAGAATGGCGTAGGACACTAACTCCCGTACCCGCCTTGGCCCGCCAGGAGAATAGAGCAACTTACGTTTACAACATTTTTGCGACCAAAAAGGGAGGGTTCCTGTCCGCCGAGGCACTTGTACGACAACACCCCTATCTCCTCTGGCGGGTCCCCGAAACTGTATATAAACAATCGCTCGCATCGATCAACCCAGATGAACGAATTTTACTAGCGCTTAGCTCTGCGATCGACGACAAAAAGCTCTGGGCTAGCCAAGGTGCTGAGGTGATGGACGCCATTTGGACAGCGCTTGAGGGACAAGGCATCGACAATATTACGGTGCACAATACGTTGAGGCTCGTGAGTGCTGGTGGCCACGACGTCGTGTCTCAAAGCAGCTCCCGGATGTTTATGCTTCTTGGGAGAGATGAGTGGCGCTTCCGTCTCAACACTGTACAGAGATTGCTGAACCACGCCTGACCATTTGGGTCGGAGCATTATTATTTCAATACCCCTGCAAGCTTCTCGGGGTAGTGTCTTTACATTGTAGTGAGCCTGATATGCGAGGAGAGGATATCCGCTTCTTCAATTTTGTATACTAGTTGTTGCCCTGCTTTGGTGGCATCACCCGAATGCTCGGTCAAAATCATGCCGTTTACTGAAAGCAGTGTATTTGAAGTATGGCTATAGTAACCTAATTCCATTCGTCTCAGTATGAAGGCTCCGAAACCCTTCCTGCAAGACAGCCTATAATATGACTTCAGGCTCTAATGACGCCAGAGGTAGAGGACCTGATCCATACCAAGTTTCCAAATCCAGGAGAAGTGGCAAGTCAACGCTTTACAACCGTATTATGCTTTTAGTTTATAGCAAGACACTCCAACTCTGTTTCTAGGGGGTTGGATACAATCCCGTGATCTGCAACAAAACGAAACTACTTCACTTCATTGACACCTTGGTGAAAGTAAGGCGCCGTCGGAAAAGTAAAGAATGGAGGGTAAACAGACAAAGAGAAGGATGAAGCTGTTCGATTCGCGCATTAAGATGTGAAAGAGTAGGTGTGTTATTGTGAACAAAACTCATGTGAAGAGTAACAAAATAAAGTCGTTATTGCAAGATATAGTGAAAATGTATACAGTTCACAGGAGTGTTGTTTTCGTAGATTTTGGATTATTAGTTCGTAATTATGCTGTTAATGCAGTTCACCGCATTGAATGTGCTTCATAATAATTCCGGGGTATAAAGCTAAAGGTCGAAAATCCAAATCTGGTTGGTTTGTTAGCAGACTGTACGGAAAACTAGTACCGTGAGGAGACCCCAACGACCATGTACCATCGACGGGTCAAGGTGTTTGGGCCAGTCATCAGAAAGTATTAGATCAAACTTACCTCCATCTTAGCAACTTCTAGTCTCTGCCTCCTGGCCTGGTTAGTTGCACTCTGAATCGCCATTTCCAAATCGTCCTCGTCTCCAATAGTTATCATGTCTCCATCAGGCATATCCTCATCCTTGATCTTGATCTTGAAGCGTCGTCTCAATCCAAATTTATCTTTTATTCTGTCCACCAAGTCTTGAAATTCAATCGCCGTGCCAATCATAAGGTATCTGACATCATCGGCATGAACCTTGACACGAATCTTGCGAATCTCAGGTCGACGGGAAGCAGCGCGAGAATCTGATCTCGAGCCTTGGCGCCTGCGATTATTCGACACCATTTCAAACTCAGCTCCGCCAAGAGAGCCATCATAGTCTGATCCGTCGTCTTCTTCAGGATATCGAGGCTGCTGTCTAGAGCGCGTTGAAGGACGGCTGTCTCTCGACATACTTGACTCACCTCCCCTGCCTTGGTACATGTCGTATAGATCAGCCGGGTCAGCTTCGTCCTCTTCCTCGATTGGTCTGGTTGGGCGTCGTTGCATTGGTGGGAGGTCTCTTCTAGAGAAGCCCCGAGACACTGATGATGATGCAGACCGAGTCGCGCGAATTTCTTCGGGGGAAGGAGCTTTCTCGTACTTCCGGCCAATATCTTGCGTCTGAATCGTCAATTTTGCAGGCGTCGGCCTTGAGCCGTTCCGAACACTTCCGCGATTGGGTCGGTCATTTTCAGGAGGAGGGGTGGGTGGAAACACATTTCGGCTCGTTGGGGGTTCTGATTGCTGCCGCCGTGACTGAATACCGGGCTTAACCAAGTTCGTTGCGGCAAAGGAAATATTGTCCGCCGGCCGGTCATCTTTGACTTCGTTCTGACCAGCCTTGGCCATGTCAGGCTCTTGTACAGGAGATGAAAGGGTGCTGGGGACTTACATTCTTGATTTCTGACCCCGTAAATCCAGTAAAGGCATTCGATCGATCTGACGCAGCTACTAGTCTTGCTTTACCTAGATAGTCCTTGGTTTTCAAGTTTCGAACTTTGGCTTCATTTGGTCGGTAGACTACGCCAACTGGGATAGAGAAAACGGTGTATCCCTGCGACACTCGTTGTCAGTACCGTCGCAAACATTTGGCGCGGGTAGTTGGGACTAGTCGTACTTCAGCCTCTTCGCGGATCGCCTCATCTATAACATTGTGGTCCTCTACAACCTTCTCCTTCACCGCATAAGATAGATCCTGCATTCCAGCCTCCCTCTGTTGCAAATAAATGTAGCATAAGCCTCTGTTGAAGAGTACCTCGCAAGAATAAAGCTTAAATAAGAGACCGAGCTGAGCATAGTCGATCATTGTATTGCCCCGCAAGTACAATAGCGTATCGTTGAAATTCGCGAGAGCCTCTTCGAAGTCGCCTAGTAAGAAATTGGACACACCTTGCTGAAAGTAGGCAACAGCGAGATACTGGTCAAGGCGAATAGCACGCTGATAACATTCGACCTGAACAATAAGAGTAGAGTCATGGTTAGTCGTCATCATGATGTCTCTTTTACTCCTCCAACATATACAACAAACAGCTCGATTGCAAATGTGGAAAGGAAGCGTGGAACTCACAGCTTTCTCGTGTTCGCCTAGTGTAGCGTGGATAACACCCATATTAAACAGAATCTTGCTTGTGTCGGCGATCCTGTCGAACTCGCCGAGAGCGTCATCGAACTCATTGTTGTCATAACGAGCCAGGGCCGCCACCCATGTCTCGATTTCCTATTCCAACCCCCCTTGATTAGCACGAAGTCTATGTCGCCTTCCTCGTTGATCGTACTTACCAGCTTCAAGGACATGATGGATTATTTCGACTCAGAGACGCGCCAGCGGTCAATGAGGTTGATTCTGCGGAGACTGTGAAACCAAGATATCTTGCCTCTATGCGCCAGACAGCTTCCCTCGGAAGTGAGATCAAAGAGGCGGGTGGCTAGTGTCGTCAAATTCCAGGTATATCGGACCAAAGCTTTGCGCTTGAAAGATATTGACGAAAGGTAGCGGCTTTTACAGGACAATGGGTTCTTGATTGTGTCTCGGTTGAACGAGTATGCCCACCAATTCGTCCGTCCTTCCAAATTATCAATGGATTTCGCAAGCTGGGGTGTTGGTACAAAAATATGGGGAAGTTGGCGTGCTGTGCTGTAGAACCCAAGATAATGGTTAGGAAGAGCCCGCCTGCGGTGCCAACGAACCCTAGGAGTGTGACGGTGACAGTAAGGCTGCGAAGCAAGCCAAGTATTTGTCGACACAGACTTGGTTTCTTGGCCACTCGCCAAGAATGAATCCTGGAATTAGGCGACCCGCATCTGGCGCGAAAATTGACAATGTGACAAGACAGCCAGGAAGGCTATTGACAACGGGGTTGCGGGCAACAGATGGTAGCTGGCAGGAAAGTTAGACGACTCGTCGTTGCCCTTCGAGAAAAGGCGCCTCCAGGGCGACGCAAGTAGTGACACTGAGGATTGTGGTCGAGGGTTCGTGGCCGGCGGCCGGCGGCCAGTTTTGGGACGTGACTGGGACAAATTGGCGCCCTGCCTGCCGTGGAGATGGAAACTGGCTGATGAGCTGGATGAAGTATCCTATAAGCTGGTTTGCTTGAAGCCTGGTGGTGTTGTCAAGGACTTCATGGGTTTTGGGAGGCGCCCTTTGGCCTTTGGTTCAAGGAAGAGTTGATAGCTGGCGACTTATCGTCTGTCGGCTGGCGACTGGTGGCTGGTGGAAATTAAAGACGAGGCAGGATTCGGGCAGAAGCTGGACAGGACGGAAAAGACTGGACAACGCTTCCCAGGCAGATTGCGTAGATGCGTTCTGGGGCTGGCGAGCGGCGGCAGCCACGATGAGAAGATTATTCGTACGTTAGTTATGGGTCTGAGCGACTAATACTTGGGTCACAATGGGCTGCGGCATGGGAAAGGCGGGAATGATAAAGGACCGAGCAACATCGAATGGATTGTGCGAGACGGTGTGGCCCAGGATGCAGGTTGGCAGGTTGGCAAGGTCGAACCGCCAAGCCGGTGGTGTTGGACTCATGGGGACTAGTGGGATGATGATTCATGGTGAATGGATGGACTCATGGCCAAGGAGCAGTTGGCGGCACACGGTATGGGGAAGGGAGACGGTTGAACCCAGGTACTTGATGCATACACGTTAGTGCAACGGCGGAGTACTTGGGCACAGTACTGTACGCGCCTACGCGGGCGAGGTACCTCCAGATACTTTGGGCGGGCGACAGGACCAAACCGCAGACTGAGAAACCCACGGGCACCACGCAACCACACACGATGCACGATGCCACAATGCATTACGCCGTAACCGCCAGCAGCACCTGGGCGCTCGAGCTCGTGTCAACTGGTGTCTGGCGTCTCGTGGCGGCGCCGCCATCCCTGAAGTCCAGTGCTTCCAGTTGTCTTCAACCAGGCCCACCGGGTCCATTCGGGACCCAGTCAGCCAGGGGTTGGGGCTTGCGAGGGGGTGACGACGTCTGAAGGAGGAAGTGAGGGAAGTCTTTCCTCTTCTTCCATGTCTTCATTTTTTGAACCGGGGGGTGCCGGGGTCAAGGGGGCTACTCGCTAAAACCAGGTACGTACCGACCAGACACATGCCTGGCACTTCGATGTTCCTTATGTCAACTGTTGCTTAACTGCCAGTTCCCAAGTGTTATGGAGCCAAATGTCCAGGTTCGAATGCTACTTGACGGCATCTGGGCCAACTGGATTCTGAGTCTGCATGCCATCGATCTGCCCTGGCCATCCATCCTTTACGCGCATCAATCAGTGCGTAATCAAGAGCCACCACCAGACTCTTGACAAGCCAATGTGTACGGAGAGCGCACAATGCATTCTCCAGGCCCGAGATGTATGATCGCCGGGTCTGTGTTCCTAGTCGGTTGCGATGCCCCGTCGGCAGCATGACGAGTGTTTTTAAGTAGTCTCGACGTACACGGCACCACGGCTCCGGTGCCACGTCGAGCCCTCACCAGCTTGATACCGTGTCACCGGCGTCGCGTCGAGATGTGTCGTGGAGTCGAGGGACGACGATCCTGTGCTCGTTGGCAAATATGTGAGCACTACGACCATCAATGAGGCTAAGAGACGCCACCGTTCACACTGATCAAACGAACACGCGGAGTGCCGAGTTTGACACTTTAGCTCCAGGAACCAGAACGAGACTGTATGTAAGTTACTACGTACTTACGTAGACCATCGACTCGTCACTTGAGCATATCACCACAGAGGGTCGCCATTAGTCTCGAAATTCTTCACGGTTCCACGCAGCATGTTCAGCCCAAGGTGCCTAGCTGGCTTGATCGTCTTTTACGGGTTCCCGATCCTGTGTCAGGACAAGCAACTAAGCACTGCATAAAGGCAAGGCTCGTCCTACGTTGGTACCGCGTCCGTACGACGTATTCGCACTGCGCTTGCTACGTAATATTCTCATGTGCCCTGGGCACCGCAGCGCGCAGCACGCAGGAACATCAAACTTTTGACTGCAGTGTAACCCATCTAATTACAAATTCATCACCTGGCACATCCATGTCCTGCCTCCTGCCTGTGCGTCAAATCCTTCCCGAACTTTCGGGGCGGCTTTAAATCTCAAGGTGCTGGGTTTATTAGTGTTTATTGAAACTTTGTCAGATTTCTTGCATGGAATGCCAGCCTACGTACGGAGTGCATATACATGCAATGGTGACAGAAAATATTCACAGGCTCTACAGGTTATTGTATGTATAGACTTTGGCGCTCAGGCAGTAATATAAACTCTCCTGTTCATCGTCGTCAGCTGTCTCCATATCACGGGTTCCATATTGGCCATTTGTAAACTAAATTTTCACCATACCCGATTGCTGGATGGAACACGTGCGATACACTTTCCCTCACATTGCTTTCGTATCAAGATCTAAGGCACCTTTTAGTTTTCCTCTTTCGTCAAATTTTTTTTCCTCCGGCTTCCTTGCCTCTATCCCCTCCAAGACATCATTCTTCACCAGAGACGGGCCGCGAGGTGCGGTTGAGTGGCGTTGGGCACTGGCCAGGTGCCAGGCCTTGGCGTCAAGCTAGTATGGAGCACTATCGGCATGATGCTGCAGGGCCCTTGCGAGGCGCTGTCATTGGTGCAAATCCAGCCTCGCCTGCATCAATTCATCAATCGATCCCCTCCAGGCCGCCCGCCACGGCGCGTACCGTTGGCCTCCTCTGTCTGCCACCCAATTGCCCAAGTACATAGGGAGTACAGAGCTACCAAACCGTATAAGTCTGGCGTCTGCTGTCTGTCGATGCAATGCTTGTCGCATGGTGACTCTGCCGCCTTTAGAAACGCCCAGATTTCTTGCATGTGTTTCCACCCGGCCTCTACCGACGGCTAGTCTAATATTTTGCCTGGTTCTGGGCCTTCACCATGGAGCTATCATTGGCAGGTCATTGGATTTTTCGAGACCAACTGTGCAGAATTTGCAGGGGCGGCCAGGCCTCATGTAAGATGACGTTTTCGAACCCAAGTCCACCGTGTGTTAGCGGGGTTCCCAAGTGTTGACTGAAGCGTTTGTCCAGTGGGATTAAGTGACTAAGCGCCGCCATAGAAGTAATGTTGTGTCTAGTACTACGTACTAATCTAGTACGTACCTAGGTAGTCTTTTCAATTCCAATCCTCGCGCTTCCCCTGACCTGGCCTGGCCGCTTCCCATCCATGTCTGTTCCAACAATAGAATCGTCTAGCACATGTGCATGTCAATATTATGCCGGCGGTCTGTGTCAACCCGCCAAGATACGTGACCGACATGCATCATCACCTCGCATCATGAATCCATTCGACTGTGATGAGAGACGTGTCCATAAACCAAGCCTTTTGGTTGATGCAAGCTAGCTCCAACGTCACAAATAAATATCACAAATGTGCATCCGCGTCATCCAAAAAGATCGCTGTACGTAGGTACCTAGGTAGTTATTGCCAAGCACTAACCGATATTGATAATGACTTGGTCTATTATGTGCCAGCTACATACATATGTAAGAAACCCCTTCCCCCCATGGATGATGGCCCCCTCCCACCTTCCCTCTCTCTCCTCGTGCTTGCCTTTCGGCCATGGTACAGGGTACATATGTATGGCTATCTGGATGGCAACCCTACGTTCATCACACCGCATGGAACCGTGAATAAACATTGTCAACTGATGCATGATGACAAGACGAAACAGAAGTCGGTGCAAGTGGGCGTACTCAACCCTGCGACTGGGGCACCTCTGACATTCTCAAATCCTGACGACCAGGAAATTTCGTGCTTCTTCTGCTTCTCTTACAGCCACTTGATCTGATAATGCACTCGAAAGCAATGCGTGACCAAAAATCATGCGATTGTGGTGCCACCGCACACAAAGGTGGTCCAACACCATATGTACATACCTACCTAAAGTAACTTAGAATATATTAAACTTCCTAGGACAGGGGAATCAATATGGGGGTTGCATGGACCGCCACGCCCAACCAAACTAAGCTAATATGTTAATTTTGTATGCCGCCTAAGGGACTAGTATATGTTTGCTTTCAGTTTTATTGAACTCTGTAGTTTATTTTATTATTTCTTCTTATTCTTAAAAGTCCCCTGCTCTCAGATGACCCGCCAAGCATCACTATCAAAACTAACCGCAGACAGTTGGCCCAAGACCGCCCAATGCTCGCCATTCTCCCGTTGTCATTATCATGGGAGATCAATGCTCCCGCAATCACAATACATACGGCGTGTCATCGACAGGCACAGTCCCTTGACAAGTCGCAAGTGTGCTTTTCTGGCAGCCAATCAATCAACTTGGTTATTTCCAACTTCATCGCATATTTACCTTGTATATCATGCGGCTCAGTGCCAACTGGAATGAACGTTATGCGGTCAACCCCTAGGCTACTATGCCACAAGTGTAAATGAAGGAGTGACTACGTTTGCAACAGCAGGGGCTGTGTGCATGCTGCGCCTTGAACATTTAGCATCATCATCACGATACCTCGATTCCTCACCCATCAATTCGAAACCGTAGCATGATCCATATGTGATGTATGTCTCATCTACAACAGCACATTGTGCTTACCAGGTGTTATGTTTGTATGATGCTTGCACGATCATTCGAATTAATTAAAAAAAAATTCATTCAAAAAACTTACTCATCTACAGCATGCCCTTTCGGACTTCGTCCCTCCTCTCCTCCCACAGTGTCTTTCCAGTACATGAGCATACCGTCTTATCGTTGTCCCATACACCTGCACTCCGAGCAATAACTCCGACCACGGTGTTGTCGTCATTTTCGAGAGGCCCAGCTGCCTCATTTTGTCGTGTTAGAACCATGGCATGGCCAATCACCTCCCAAATCCGAAAAGGATGGTCAACAAAGGCAGAGCCTCGCCCATCTTGACCAACATTAATCTCGCCCAAGACACCATTACGTTCGGACTGATCTCCAGACCAGACAGGTCCTGTCGACTTGGCCCCATCTTTGAGATCCCCATATTGGCGTATTGTGGCACGATACGTGCCTGGCGCGAGTCCTCGGACAGTCAGGTCTACAAGAGTTCTCCCAGAACTGACCTGAACCATCCTCGCCAATCCTCTCACTTCTCGGTCTCCATTGTCGTCCTCCCTTTGCAATTTCCCTGTAAAACTTTCAAGAATGCTAACAGCGGCGCCTGGTTTCGACCAATGTCAACACGAGGAATCTCCTGGCCAGAAACCCACAAGGGGTTCAGATGAATTCAGAATCGGAAGCCACGGAATTGGCATGGCCGAGAGGGGTGATAAGAAGATCAGGTTTCAAATACGTACTGTCAGATGCGCCGGATCCACGGAGGATTGCATCTCTCCCTGTTGCCTGAATGGCTTCAACGATGGCTGACGGTGCGGCTAGGTTTTGTGGCGAATGTCAGTTGAGATAAACTCGACTCGACGCGCTAACGAAAACAGACTAACCGAAGCCTTCGACGGATATTAACTGATCCTCCAAGCTTCCCTCGACTTTGCTCACTCCTCCGAGTTTGTAAATTGAGTCTGAAACTGTCTTGACACAGCCATTACAAGACAATGGCACCGCGAATACGGTCTGTTGTGCCACATGTTTCATCAGCATTCAAGCGTCTCACAAGTGGGCTCTGGGTGTTTTGATGCAACGTGATAAAGAAGAAGCAAACGCGGGGCGGGGTTGAGAAAAACGAAGGAAAAGAAACGAGAGAGAGAGAGAGTTGGACAAGGACGACAAAATGGCGAGTCCTCCGTGTATCTTCGTGATGCAGTAGCGCAACATGGAGAGTGGCAACCACATGATGGCAGAGCCTCATACCTGGAATGAGTGGTCAACGGTCATTTTGCCTGTGCCAGCAGCTTTGGCCTGTATTAGCGCTGCTGTACCAAAATGCGCGAGACATTAGAGAAGATCAAACCTTGAGATCTGGTTTTATTTGAAGAGTAATAGCGGTAAAATGAATACCCTGCCAGCAGGCCAAGAGAGGCAGATAGTACAACACGAGTTGCTGTGCCTGGTATTACGGGCATTTCAAATCGATTCCAGCACCACCGTCGACTACGGGGTACTTGACTTGCTTTGAAATCCACTTGCTTCAGAGAATTGATTTGTCAGGTCCCCAGCGCACCGCCGCGGCCGAGGCCCGGCAGGAGTGACAATTGACCCTGTCAGGTGACCTCCAACCACGCTGAGTAAGCTCCGGATTAAGCCATCAAACTTTCACCTCAAGCTTGCACATGTGGCCCAGAAAAGGCACGAGAGCTTCATCAGGGCGTTTCCAGCACCATTGAGTGTTTTTTGAAAAGCGCAGCTGTTCTCGCGGCCTCTCTTTTTACGAGAGCCTGCATGCCCTTCTAATTCAAAATGTCTCAGACCCTTGGACTGGTAAGTTTTGCGCTCTTGGCCAGCAATTCTGTTGAAGCCGTCGTTGGCAGCCGCCTCCTAACCAAACTCGCACTTTGTCAGACTCGCCTCGCCTATTCACGGGTATGGCATCAAATATCCGCCTCCAAACCTCACCAGACCCTCACAACCCAGCCAGACGTCACGCCGCCGTCTCTGGGACGGTTAGCATCTCGAATAGCCGTACTTCTGATGGGCAAGCACAAGCCGATCTGGAACCCTTCGACAGACTGCGGAGACTATGTCGTCGTGACGAATTGCGCGGCGCTGCACACAACCGGCCGAAAGATGTGGCGAAAGTCATACTACAGACACACTACGCGACCCGGAAGTCTGAAGGAGCTCACGATGGATGCACTCATGGAGAAGCATGGAGGCGGCGAGGTTTTGCGAAAGGCCGTACGGGGCATGCTGCCCAAAAACAGACTGCGGGACAAGCGGCTTGCGCGATTGAAGGCTTTTGAGGGCGATGCGCATCCGTACAAGGATAATTTGGTGCGGTTCGGTGGTGTTGTAGTTGGCAGCGAAGGTTGGCAGAAGGCAGTGGAGAAGATTAGAGAGTCCGACAAGAAGCGGTTATGAGCAAGTACATATTCGGGCTCCAAATGTCAGATGATTGGCCCGAGCTCATGTTTTTTTTTGTAACACTTGTATTATACGGAAGATGTCTGACGAGCTGCCGGGCATGAATATAATGGCGAAATCCTCGGTTATCTCTTTTTGGGGAGGTCCATGCTTACTGGCGGTCATGAATGTACATGCCTTGCACAAACCTCGCAAGTGAAAACTAACACATACGATTCATCCTATGCCGAGTCCGTGAACATGCTGGGACAACGAAGGAACTCGAGCAAAGCAAACGCCTTCTCATGAAGAAAGAATAAGACGGCAACTTGTATTAAGCAGGACTTGACTCGATGTTGTGTATGTTTGTATGCGTATAGAATTTGCTACAGACCAGTACAGATTGCCAAAGGCACTGTGACAATGCATTCATAGGTATCATGATATCATCATCCCTTGCGCGGCGCGGTTCAGCACTCCAACTCGGTGCTATTGTCATTTCACATCTTGCACAGCTCTGCCTGCGATTTAAGATCGAGAAACCTCACACTTGATGAGACCATTGGGGCAGGTCTGGGGAACGTAAACCTCGGCGTCCTTGCCCGTGTTTTTTAGACCATCGTGCCAGCTCAGATCTGTCAAAGAGAGAGAGGGAGAGAGAGGTCAGTGAGTATTCCAAGCGTCATGGTGTTTTAGTCTGGGAAACGAAAAAAAAAAGGAATAATACGTACCAAGTTCAAAGTTGTGCTTGTTGGGCAGCGAGTACGCAACCGTTTCAGTTTCCGGTACTGCATCCAAGATCTGCTCACACATCTTGTACATTGTGTTCTGGACACTGGCGCTGTTGTCCTCGGCAAAGAGCTTGAGGGTAATATTTCTAGCAGAGTCCCAAGCCTTGTCAAACTTGGGAGCGCTCTCCTCCACCGCCTTGAGGTCGGCAAACTTTGCCCACTTCCAGCTGGCGTCGACATCGGTGGACAGAATACGGTCCCAGGTCTCGGGCAGAGTGGTGTACTCGTCACGGATGAAGCCGTGGAAGGCAGAACCCGTGCTCTTGAGGACGGTGAGGCCTACAATGGAGCTGGTGATGCTGATGCCATCCTTGCGGCTCACACGGACCTCGACGTTGCGAGTCTCGCCGGCATCCTTGATGAAGCTGTGCGGGTGTGGCTTTCCATCAACGTCCATACGTATCCATCGGTGAGTGACGACCTTGACATTGGCAACGTGGATATGGCTGTACTTTTGAATGAAGTGGTTGCCCAGGATGGAAGCGTACAGCTCCGGAGGGTTGACGGGATGCTGCTTGGCAATGATGAAAGTGGTGTTCTTGATGGAGTCGGTTGCGACTACGACGCTGTTATCAGCTTCGGTGTAGGAAGTATCAATGTCGCCCTCAAGCAGACAGCAGACGGTCATCTCGGTGACGGTCTGAACCCCAGTGGTCTGGTCGCGGGTGACCTTGAGGACGCGGACATTGTCCTTTCCATAACGGGCGGCAGAGACGTAAGGCATCTTGGACTTGTTTCTGACAGGCAAGAGGGTTTCGTGTCCCATGGCACTTGACTTGAATGCGGATATCGACGCGGCAGAGGGGGGGGTGAGCAAGCAGGAAGCACTAGGCACAACTCGAGTGATTGACGCAGTCGAGGATTCAGACCAGCAAGCCGAAATTCAACATCAACCTGACGCTGCGGCAAAACCAGGAACTCTAAAGCTTGGAATAAGATTACGTGGTGCCGGAGCCGTCGAGGCCGTGGCGCCTTTATATGCTGGGCTTGACGGGGGGTTCAACAATTGCACGTAGGATGCCGTCGGCCAAATGCGTTAGGGAGGACAAAGGACGACCAGTGTTGGGCGTTGGATTTTTGGCTTTATGGCTGGAAACAAGCACTGGCGGTCTGGTTCCATTCTTCTATTACCAGTTGAGAAGACACCAGACGCAATGGGTTGATGACAGCATGACAGCGAGCCAAATCGAATCATCTGTCGCGGTGGCTGCCGGAACCCGCCGAACCCCAGCGATGCGGGCGATGCGGCGACGCGGGACCCCGGGAGGATCAAAGAAACACTGGAAGCCCTGGCCTGGCCTACCAAGTCACCAACTAATGGGCTGCTCCGATGCAGTACTACGAATCAATTATTTGACGAGTCGGGAATCAGCGAAAATGGAGACGGTGGCGGGGCTTGGTTTGATACGGCCTCTGCAGGCGCTCGCCGCAACCCAGCCGTCTATATCAACTGGCATCGGCCGCGAGTGCAATGAACCAGACATGGACGACTCTCGACGGGACTGTCAAAGCCATGACCCGCCAACATGGACGGCGTTGTTGTCGTGCGGCCAGCCCTCAGTCGAAAGGGCCCTCTTGGTGGTGGCCAGAGCAGTGAGGAGGAGGACAAAGTACCAGACTTGAGAAAATACCTAAGTACTTAGATTGGCAGGTCATCTCGGGGCACGCAAGCCATCCCTTAGTGGTACCACCAGCGATATTTGAACACAGCCACCTCTTTCCCTTGCTTGCCGATACAATTAACTCGTTCTTGAGAGTAACTACGGAGTAGTAGCAGTAGTAGTGGTAAATCAATGGCAGATTCGACCAGATCCCAGCGTTGACGTTTGAATTCCGGACCCACACAAGCGCTGCCCGGTCGTCTCTCTCGTCCTCGTGCCCCCTCGGTGCCATCCAGGGCTCCACCAGACCTCAAAGTGCACATGCCAGGCACCACCACCAGGCAATGGCGCATCCTCCCGAACACTGAAGTTAGCTTACCTTACCAGGCCAGGGTACTAATCCAGCATCCAGTCAGTACCTGGCTCCATTAATGTCCAATCCTCAAGCCTGTCGGTGCATTCCAGGTCGTCGCAACGCTTGCCTATCGACAGCCATCGATATCGACAATCAGCCATGAGAAGCGCTACTCGAATTGCACATCTCTGAAATCCGCTCCAACAAGTCGTCGGCTGATGCTGGCCAAGCTGCAGCTCTTCGCCGAGCCATTGCAGAAGACGCCGCCCAAGGGACCTTCGGCCCAAACCCCAACGTCCAAACCGAAACCACTTTCCCGTCCAGCATTTATTGTTCAAAGGTGGCGACAGCTTCCTGTTCACGGCCTGGTAGCATTGTAAGCGAGCTGTATCTGCATTGACGCCTTACACTTAGCACTGAGCATACCCATCGACTGTTCTATCGACCTCGCTCACAACGTCTGTCTACTTGCACAAATTCATTGTCAACCACCTCTCCAGCCGATATAGGCCACCACCACCTCGCACCAAGTTGCCTTTGCCCACTTACGCAAAGACGACCAGTTGACCTCTTTCAAAACCCTGAACCTCTAATGCTAGAGCATCTACAAACACAAACTCGCGGCATACGACCCGACACTATCACAAACCCCACTCTCCGCGTCGCAGTAGTCCGATATCGTCTTTCTCTTTGAATTCGAATTCGAATGCACAGAAACCGAATACAGGGCTCGGCCCACGTCGGCGGGAAGACTATCAGTCCACACTCTGCTTTTGTCTAAACCCATTGTTGGGCTGGCTTAAGCATGCCGGGTCAACCCTCCTCCCAGCACAATGCACCCAGTCAATACAATCCAACCTCGTCGCAGGCAGGAACTGGCCGGACGAGCATAGATCGCGATGGAAGCGGGCTTCAGCCATTGAACGGCGTGCCGAGTCGGAATTTAGCCGCCTCGGCCGTTTCCTTTGCTCCTCGTGGTAGCAGTCTCAATCCTACTATTGGCCCCGGTAGCTTCAGCTCCGAGCTCCGTAGCCAAACGATTTCGAGCCGTGCAGGCAGTCGCATGGACGTCGGATCAATGTACACTGGCAGTATCATGGACAAGGTCGAGGAAGACGGTACCGAAGC